TAACGCCGGTCTTGAATAAAACACACTGTGCATTTGCTTGTTGCTTATCACTTCACTTTTCACTTCAACACATTTGCTTAAAACTTGAGAAGGGTGGGCGCCACAGCCAGCGACTCCCAGCGGATGGCGAGGAACACGAGCTCGCCGAGCCACGCCTTGGCGATCTCGTCGCGCGTGTACGTGTTGGAGCCGCCGAACTCCGTCACAGTAGCATATTCACCCGTGCTGGTTCGCACTGAGCCGTCGGGCGAGATGCGGATCCAGTAGAAGATCTCGCACCACTGCTCGTCGGCCCGCAGCAGCTTCTTGACCAGCGGCAAGTTGATGGTCTTCATGGCCAGCGTCTGAGTACCGTCCGCCTCCGCTACACGGAACAGAACGTACACTGTACGCAGTGCGAGCTTGTTGCCCATGACGCCGGAGCGGGCGTTGTCCTCGCTGCGGCGATCAATGACAAGGAGATCGTCCGATAGCTTCTGTAAGGGCCGGATGTGCGTGTTGACAGTCGACGGAATCAGTTTCTGAGTCCTCTTCCCGTCAGTGAGCAAGTGCCACGTCGTGGCCATGAGCTGCGCCGGCGTCACGTTCTTCAGTGATTTTTTCACTGAGAACGTGATGGTGGAGCCCTGGCGCAGCGTGTATTGCGACCAACCGAGGAACTTGGTGCGGTTATGGTACTGCGCGTCGCTAGCGTAGAGGACGCGGGCGTTGTTAATGAGCTGGAGCGTCTGGCGCACACACGAGAGCCCTTCCTCGCGAGTGAGCGGCGTGAAGCGCACGCTGCTGTTGCCGTTAAACGGCCGAGGTCCAGAGCCTAGAGGCTCTTTGCTCTTCTTACTCTTGTTGTTGCCACTGACCGAGTCACTCTCGCTGTTATTGTCACTGTCCGTCTCGTCCGGACTGAATTCAAGCAGCAAATTTTGCATGTAGCCCGTGGTCACGTCCCGTTCGCGCAGTTGCTGCGTCATGACGGCGTTCTGGCGCCGGAATTCCTCGATCTCATTGGCGAGACGTACAAAGTTTTCGCGTTTAATGGGCGTCGATGGCGACGGGTACAAGGAACTCGACGCGTTTGGGGGCGTTGGCGAGCGGCACTCGTCGCTCTGTGGCGAGACGGTGTTGCTGCCTGTGCGCTCCACGAGACGCTGCTTGTGCTGCTCCAGCTCCTTCACTTGTTGCCGCATTTGCTTCATAGATTCCTAGGAGCATAAAACAGATGCTACGTTAATACAGAGTTGTCTATCCATTAATCTCGGTGTGGATGTGCCATACCCGCTTGGCAAAGCTGCGCTGGCGGTCGCGCTCATTGCGCTTAAGCTTCTTGAGTTGTTCGCCTTTTGGGGCGGTTGAAGTGGCGATGGTGAGTCGATGGGACGCGGTTTTTTCGGTGTCCTCAGGGACAGACGGTGTAGGGTCGGGGCCGAGATAGTAGCGCGCCATGGCGCGAAGCTCGGCATCGGCGTCCTCCAGAGGGTTAGCAAGGGACATAATATGGTCCTGACTCTCGCAGAAGTCGGAGTGTCGAAGAATGATGACCGTGTCGCGTGAGTGTTGCGTCAACTCGAAAATGCCGTAGAACTATGTGGTTTTTCGTTTTTACTGTTGTTTTAACACTTTTGTTAAGTGGTCGTTCGTTTTTACTGTTGTAAAATCCGGGGTGAGCGTTGCGCTTGATTAGACATCGTGCAACAACGTTTTAGCTGAGTTACTCTACGAAACGTTTTTTACATTGTAAAAACATGGTTGTTCCTCTGGCTTTTTTTGAGCGGGAAAAAGCCACAGACGTTCGAA